GAGGGTTCCCCCCCCCCCCCCCCCCCCCCCTCGAGCTCCAGTTCAGACGAGTGAAGAAATATGTTTTCATTCTGCTCCGTGTAAACATCTTGATTATCCACCTCTAAATAGGCAGCCACGAGATAATGAGTGCGTTTACAAAAATTAATTTACAGTAAAAGAACTTGAGTCCAGCACCTGCGCTGGTCATACATCAAACGTACCTTCTACTGTCAAAAGTTATTAATATTAGTGACTACAGGAACAAGAGTATCTAAAGATTATTAAGGATTACACTCTTGCAGACAGATTTGTAGAATAGATAAATGCTAAACAGCCGAAAAATATTGCATTCATACGCTATGACGTGCCCATTGCCTACAAATCTGAAAGGGGCATAATCACATCTGGCAGAAATGGTGGCATTTGTTTTTGTTTTTTTCCACTCAGTACCACCGTTCAGCATTTTTGCTCCCTCTTTTTTTTTTTTTGCAAGCACATTGGGTGAATTTTTAAGACAAGTATAAAAATCTGCCTTGATTCCTAAAGCAACTTCACAATACTTATCAAAACAAATACTTACACATCTGCCATTTCATGCACATGCGGCTGAAGTGAATTAAATTCAGTGGCCGTTCACATAAGACGCGTTTTTGCGTTAAAAACAGGTTGACGGAGCTTTCCATGTACACAATGTGTTTATCCATATGTACGGTAAATATGGTTAACGTGCCCCCAGAGCAATCAGAGTGGTCCATTCTTTTAAAATCAACACTGCACATCAAACGATAAACAAAATCGTGTTTGAAAAAAAAAAAAACGTCCGTCTAGTGCATGTTTACACAGAGCAACATTAAAAATACAGCGCAAATGGAAAGCAAGAGCATGTCCTATGTGAACGGTCAGCTTCATTCTGAAAACGACACTCAAGGTTAAATAAAGAATATGTCAAAAGGAGATATGATTATAACCAAATAAAAAAAAACTAAAAACATTTTATGTCTAATAAATAAAAATAACACTGTGTCCTAATGAGATGCAATGCAACACGACAAGATAACAGGCTTGTTTTACATTTTGCTTTTGTCCTAATCAACAGTGATGGCGATAAGTGACAGGTGATTCTATTCATTTTAAAATAAATTTGTTTTAATTTATTTTTCAATTTCTGCTATCTCGTGGCTGACATTGATTAGACCTTAGGCCTGGGCGATAAAACGGTATCGATATCTATCGACGGTACACCTTCTTCGATATTGATAGAAATTTTTTTCGATATAGCGCACGAAATAGGCACGTACTATGAGTGACGCAGACAGCACACACAAACACGAACACATGCTGAAATGAGTGCTGTGCCTGCCTGTGATGAGGAGATTGTGAATAAAGAATGAATATTAGTCGAATTTAAAATAAACATTTGAATGTGAATGTTAGGAGTGCGTCAGGGAGCGTCATCAGTGGCGCGCGAGATGCGGTGATAATGATGTAAGTGACGTTGTTGCATTTTAATGTTTTGTTAGTCTAGCCCACGAGACGCGCCGCTGCTGCGTTATTCATTCAAATTATTAGAGCAATATAGAAGCTCAATGCAGAGAAGATCTTGACTAGGTTAAAACCAAAACCAAGCCATTCACACAGAACGCATATTCAGCGCATTTGTAGACAGACAAATATGACTGCTGCACTCGCGTCTCACAGAAGAGATGTATAGAAAGCCATGCAAAGTTAAAACGGTTTAAACTTTTAGAAAACACGTCACGAATTTGTGGAGGTTTATTCCTTTTCACTGCGTCTCATATGTTTTTAAATGCAGTGTGTGTGAGTGGCGCTTCGGCTCTTTGGATTAAGCAATGCATAAATACATGAAGCTGTTTTGTTCATAATTGTTTATGCAATTTACGAAATTATATTTGATTTGTATGCGCTAATTTAGACGTAATGCACGTTTTTATAGAGTTACTTCCTTGCGTTGACAATTTAAATACACTGCATTATTTTGCTAATGTATCTCAGAAATGAGATATTCGTTTAATTTTTTTATTGTGTTTGATTGTTAAAACAAAAAAAATATTTGTTTGTCTCAAATTGTGTTAATTATAAATACAGTGGTTAAATTTAAACATTTTTTCTATTGCTTTTAGTTTTAAAAAAGGTTATAAAACACTTCAATAATTATCGATACCGAACGATATGAAACATTATATCGTTGATACATTTTTTTGCTCTATCGCCCAGCCCTATTAGACCTATCTGTGTTTTGTACAATATTAAAAGTTTAATTTGTGTTATCATTTTGGTATGAATTGAATGCCATAATAATGGATAATTTACCTCAGATCTTAAAAACACCTTGAAATACACAAGAACAAACAAGTGTATTTCACAACAAAATTACTAAATTGTATGAGTCACTATATATTTTAAATATTGTTAAAACTGTTAATTTTGATGAAATTACTAATTTATTTTTTGCACAGTGAGAGAGCAGTGAGCTTTCAGAGAGAGCTCCGCCCACACACTCTTCTGATTGGCTGTGATTTGCGGTTGATTTTGTCACGTGTGTCCGAAATCGCCCCCTATCCCCTTAAAAGTTCACGATTTGTAGTGCTGTCCAAAACCAAAGTGGACATTATTGAGATCACTCACTCAATCCCACAATGCACTGCTATAACTAGTGTACAACCGATGTACACTTGACAGCTAGAAAACATGAGGGTCGAGCCAAATGAATTTCCGTGTATATTCAGTGTCCAAATTCACACACTTGTTTTCATTCAATGGACTTTATTAGTGAAGTAACATAGGGAATAGTGAATCAGGGTATAGGGGGCGATTGTCGCTGGAATCTCATTGCATCGCGTCTGGTTAGGACATGGTGTTATGTTTAGTTTTTTTACAGCACAACGATATAGACTCACTTGACTATTTTTATGACCTCCATTTGTTCAAAAATCAAATGTCAGTTTCTCATTAGGGACACAACCTTTTCCTAATCACATTCATAGTGTTTTATGGAATAACATTGAAACGGCAGGAAGTTGGAAGGCGGAGACTACAGTAAGGTCTTTCTGACACCCGATTTTTTTACATTCTATCGCAAACTGGTAAAAATGAAAGTGCACAGACAACTATGTTTTCCACAGGGATTTCTCCGATGGGACGGTGCGATGGTTCACACATTATCAATCCTGTCTCACCGCCATTCCAACTTCAGCCCAACGTTTCCTCATTCAGTGATGACAAGAGTAAGAACGCCAACAGTAACACTGAGAAAATCACAATGACAGTAAAAAGAGAACTAACAGTAGTACAAGTCTAACTTCCTGGGCTGTGGTACCCCGAGGTTTGTCCGGTTTTACAGTTTTCCTGGAGTTTTCCAGGCTAAGCCGTTGTGATGGCGGATCTGGGAGAACGGCACATGACAGCAGATTCAGCACATAGCGGCCAACATGTACCAGTGGCTCTCACCTCCTCCTTCTGCTTCCCTTCCAAGGGTCCCTCCCCTCAACATTCACTTCTTTTGACTCCTCTTGTTCAAAGTAAAAACACATTTCTCTGTCCGTTTGATTTTGTAGTGTTTTAGTGGCAGGCACTCTCACATGGCGTACTTTTGCGTCCATTCTCTCGCTAGTCTGTTGTACCTACAAGCAAAAAAAGGATACACCCTTATGATACAATTCAAGCTACATTTCTGTTTTATTTTGTTTTATTTATCAGTGCGGGCAGGAATGCTTTACATAAAGTGGATATAATGTGATACTTTTTATGCTTTAGACATGCAAAACATCCATGTTTCACATCATTAATGAGTGCTTCAATAACATAATTGTGTATATGTTACGTCATTGAGTGCTTACGTTAACAAACTAATGAATCCGTTTTTGAACCAGAAACCAACTGTCTGGAGGAGCCAATTTGCAAAAATGAATCAGACTTCCCCATTTGCCTGAGACTCTGGAGGTAATAATGTTGTAAATAATGTTCGGGTTCTTGCACAGCCCAATCATTTTGCTTCATAAGACCACAATATATATCCTCAGGAGTATTAATTCTGTGTTGCCTGATGCTTTTTTATTTTTATTTTTTACTCTTAAAGTGACAGTAGCTGTTGACTTGCATTTTTTAACAGCATTTATTTCAAATAAAAATATTTCGTAACATTATACATGTGTTTACTGTCATTTGTGATCGATTTAATGCATCCTTGCTGAATTAAAGTATTAATTTCATTAAAAAAAAAAAACTACTTATCCAAACTTATAAGAAAAAAATCCCCTACATATTGGATGGCCTGAGGGTGAGTAAATTAACAGCAAATTATCATTTTTGGCTAAACTATCTCTTTAAGCATAGTATATTAAGCATCTCTTTAGTAACTTGAGACCATAGTCGGCTAACAATGTCTGGAACATTTACCCGCCTCTAAACATGACGCTGAACAAAGCGAACTAATGGTATTGGTCACTTTACTGTACATGTCAGTCAGACGGCCTCCTTCTACAAAAGTGAGCAGACCTTGGTCAATCAAAGTGGCTACCGAGCCGAGACTTTACACCGTCAGTCAAAGATCTGAATACACGAGACTAACATGCCCCAAACAAGCCAAGATGAGGAAGAGCATTTTATTAATGGTGTAATACGGAGAGGAGTTTGGGTTGCAATAGAGTACAACAGTTCTACTGTCTACTGAGCCTTTTGTAGGGATGCACCGAAATGAAAATTCTTGGCCGAAGCCGAACAAAATGAAAAACTAGAACGACCGAATACGATTCAAAAATGAATATCAAACATGTTTTTTTTTGCGTTTCCCCCCATGCATTTTGTCATTTTTTTTCACCATTGCATAAATTACATAGCCAAAATGTGCTGTTTTGTCTTGCTTTTCAAATAAAAAAGCTATTACAAAACAACTATTTAAAAATATTTACTTAACACTGAACATTTGTTTAACATTCTAGCAGACATTATACCAATTTTACTTTAATAAGTTAGTAAAATCATATTTTTTGGCCATTTCTGAGACCCCCCTTCTTGAATCAGGCATATATTTTCTACTGTACAAATAAATGCAGCCTTGCTGAGCAGAAGAGACTTCTTTTCATTTGAACACTATGTGTGAATGTTATAATAAATGTATTAATAGAGCTGTTGTAGGGTAATTATTATTGTCTTACTTTATTTTATTTTACGGAACAACAGTGAAATTACAATACTAACATTTGTGAATGTTGATGGAGTGGTTGCTTTTTCTCAGCTTTTATTTTGGCAGAAACCCGCAGGAAGACCTCAGTGCTTCTTTTTGTTGACAACAGAGTCTCATTACAAATTTGGGAAGAAGTCTGTTGCACATATGTTGTCACATGCCTTTAAACATTTTTATAAAAATGTTACTGAGCAACTGACAAGAAGCACTGTTTCAGTGCAGATTATCCTCACGCTTTGGACTTTGAACCCTGGCGCCGCGAGCTCGTGCCGCGCTGTGCGTGCATTAGAAAACATAACAATCTGCAGTTTATTTACTAATTGTTTAAGGCTATTTCGCGATCATCATACAGTAACCAGCAACAAGCACCCCTTCCTCTTCTCATCGGAGACAGGAGATGCAGAACTAAGCAGTCTCTCGCTGTCGGTGCTTGTAATGATTTTTGCATCTTTCCACACTGCCGACATGTTTGCTGCATTAGCGCCTCTGTTTGATCGTCTCACATATTTTTCGGTACATATTATTTGGTCTTTTCGCTCATTTTTTTCTTTTCGCAAATAATTTTGGTTTTGCCGAACATTCGGTGCATCCCAAGTCTTTTGTTCTTAACCCAAATGTTACATAAAGCTGTGTTTGTACTGATGGCACACTTATCATGTGTTATAATTTTGACGTCCATCAAATAAAAGCAGAAAACCACCACCAAGTACTTTTCATTTATATTAAATTTTCCAAAAATAGGCATTTGATCAAAAAAGACAAATGAACATGAAAAACTGCAAAACACGTTTAAATGTGCATGTAAGGGTCACTCACTTTTCTCTGTCTGCTTTATATGTATGTGCGATCTCAGGTACCAGCGGGTCATCTGGGTTCGGGTCACATAACAGGGAGCAGATGGACAACAAGACTACAAAAGAAAGGGAACACATTAAAAACATATAATACCAAAACATCCTGATCGTCTCTACTGCTGGAATGAGGAGCTTCTCTCACACTGCCCTGTGTTTGTTTGTCATATAACACAAACCGATTCCCGTGGAGAGATCCGAACTAGGTCATTGCTTAGAACAAAGAGTAATCACTGCACTCTGACAACATCACCTACAGCGGGCTCAGTGCTCGGAAACACCAAGGCTATACAGTACTCAAAACAAACAGAAGTGCTCAAGCCACATGAGAACATTAGAATGCCTAAATTATAACAATTAACCTGTACACCAACAGCATTGGTAGTCATGTTTAAAGTCAAAATATTTAACAATACAATAACATTTTACTGATGTAGTAATATATTCATTCTAATCATAAATTAATTGCGATGCAAATTAAACTATTTTCATAGAAAAAAAAATGTCAATACCTGCATTTCTTATATATAGTTGGTATGATTAAATGTTTCTTTAATTTAACACTTTAACAGTTAATTCATTGTAAACGAACAATAAAAAAATCGTTTTCACAAATGAATCTTGATCAGTTTCTAAATATACGAATTTATTTCAAGTTGTCTAAATATGAAAATTACGATTATTGATGAACATAATGCATCTCACAGCTTCACAATTAACAATTGATTGATTAATGCATCTTTATTTTTACACCTAATTATGGAAATTCCTAAAAACCAATACAACTTCATACCTGCAATGTGAATACATCATAAGTACCATTCAGGATTGTATGTTTAAACTTACGCATGTAAGACAGTAATATTGTGAAATTTTATTACAATTTAAAATACATTTCTATTTTAATATATTTTAAAGTTTAATTTATTTCTGTGGCGCAAAGCTGAATTTTCAGCATCATTACTCCAGTCTTTAGTGTCACATGATCCTTCAGAAATCAGTATAATATGCTGACTCGCTGCTCAAGAAACATTTCTGATTATTATCAATGTTGAAAGCAGTTGTGCCGCTTAATATTTTTGTAGAAACCATGATGCATTTTTTCAGGATTCATTGATGAGTGCAAAGTTCAAAATACAGCACCTATTTGAAACAGAAATCATTCCTAACTTGATAAATGCCTTTACTGTCATTTGTGATCAATTTAATGCATCCTTGCAGCAATAAACAATACATATACAGCAATAAATTATTTCAGATTTTTTATTTTTTATTTCAAAGTGCTTATTTATCATGCATTGAGACAGTAGGGCCTTTCGCACCGCGGGAACCTTTTCATAGTACCAGAACTAATTGTGGAACTACCCACTTTTTGGCGTTTTCGCACCGCCAGAACTGGGTGCGATTTTAGTACCGGACTGCCTTTTTCGAGAACCAAATTAACTCCTACTCCGGAGCAGGGTCTAACCAGCACAACTGGTACTAATCGTGACGTAAGTAGACATTGATTGGCCAAACGCGTACGAAAACGCCCTCACCCGCCATGATTTAAAACACCGTGTAAACATACTGTAAACATTGTGTCAACTTATTTCGCAAGTATGGAGAACAGCGATAGATGGACGGACGCTGAAGTGCAGGCACTTGTAGCAAATGTAGCACTGCCAGTTGTCGTTGGAGATTCTTTAGTCCTCCTTTCCGTTCTTTCAATCGCTTTACGTATACGTCCATTATTGTGAAACCCGCAAGACACAACAAAAACACAGCTCCGATCACAGCGTCCTCCATCCTCCTGTTGTTAATGTTAATTGCCTGAATCTTACCTTTGGATACAGTAAGTGCAGGTGACCACTGAGATCGCAGGATGTCCAGACAAATACTTCCGTTACTGTTAATATTGGGGTGGTAGATCTTTGTTGTGAATGCGACCTGTCAATCAATGCAGAGAATATTGATTACAGCATGACAAGCCATTACGTACATTTGCATTTTTCTAATATCACAAAGCAACTGACCTTTGGTGGTTTAAAGGGGTAGTCTGTTGGGAAATGAATCGTAAGGAAGAAAACCCCTCCCTGATATGGACTGTCATTCTAAAAACCAAGAACACAGCTTTGCCAATGTATGCATGTACTGTCACAAAACAGGCAATATTTCAACACATCTCAATATTTATACTGCATGTATGATAAGGACAGATTAATTCAAAAATATAACATTCTGTTAGTTTCACAGTGCAAAATGTATTTACTGTGATTGCATGTGGAGACCAGCCAATCAGATCAGATGCTATTTACATATAGCAGTTTTAAAGGTACAGTAACCTGATTGTTTCACTAAACTACAAGCAACCTTTCATTAACATGTAAGTGGACCTCTAGCAGAAAATGAAATGCTACAAAGGTGTTAAACATCCCTTTTAAATAATTCTTAAAGGGATAGTACACCCAAAAATGAAAATCACCCCATGATTTACTCAAGCCATCCTAGGTATATATAGAGTTATATAAAAAAATGTCCTGGCTCTTCCAAGCTTTATGATAGCAGTGAATGGGTGTCAAAATTTTGAAGCCCAAAAAAGTGCATCCATCCATCATAAAAAGAGCTTCACACTTTTAACCCAGGGGGTTAATAAAGGCCTTCTGAAGTGAATCGATGCATTTGTGTAAGAAAAAGAACCATATTTAAAACTTTATAAACCGTAATCTCTAGCTTCCGCTAACTGTCGTACTCGCATTCACGAGAGAGTGGCGTTCCAGAGGAAGACGAATGATGTAGGCGTAGCGTAAGCTCTGGTGAGAAGTGAAGAAACCCAGAAGCACAGAGGAGAGTAGTAGTAGGATATATTTATTTAATGCCATGTCAAGCTATTTTCATGGCAAAAACAATAAAAAAAATACAAATATAACAAATACAATAAAAACCAGCAAACAAACAAACACAAGTTAGCAGAGGAGAGAGCAAAACAAAAACATTGGTCACAAATTAGAAGTACAAAACGAGGATGTAGCATTTGGACCAATCAGACACACAACTTTTTGTTATATTTAACAAAGATGTAGGCGTAGCGTAAGCTCTGGTGAGAAGTGAAGAAACCCAGAAGCACAGAGGAGAGTAGTAGTAGGATATATTTATTTAATGCCATGTCAAGCTATTTTCATGGCAAAAACAATAAAAAAAATACAAATATAACAAATACAATAAAAACCAGCAAACAAACAAACACAAGTTAGCAGAGGAGAGAGCAAAACAAAAACATTGGTCACGAATTAGAAGTACAAAACGAGGATTTGGAAAGAAAAATGTCGGAGCCATGAGGAGACTGGTTTTGCTTTGCTGTAAACAAAACTTGGTTCTCGCGAGACTAGAATATTCTCACCGGAGCTTACACTAAGCCTCTAGTGAACGTGTGTACGACAGTTAGCAGAAGCTAGATATTACGGTTTAGAAAGTTTTAAATATGGTTGTTTTTCTTACACAAACACATCACTTCACTTCAGAAGCCGGAGCCGTGTGGAGCACTTTTTGTGATGGATGGATGCACTTTTTTGGGCTTCAAAATCTTGACCCCTATTTACTGCCATTATAAAGCTTGGAAGAGTCAGGACATTTTTTAAAGGGTTAGGTCACCCAAAAATGAAAATTAGGCTGTGTTTTACTCACCCCAGAGCCATCCTAGGTGTATATGACTTCTTTCAGACGAATCCAGTCAGAGTTATATTAAAAATTGTCCTGGCTATTCTAAGCTCTATCATTGCACTCAGCGGGTGTTGCAGTGCTTCAGTCCAAAAGAACTTAAATAAAAAGCGCACATCCATAAAAAAAAAAAAAAGTCTCTCAGATGGCTCCGGGGGGTGAACAAAGGCCTCCTTTAGTGAATCGATGCGTTTTTGTAAGAAAAATATCCATATTCAAAACATAATAATCACTTTAATGTAGCTTGCGCCAACAGTTGTACACGGAAGCAGTTCCGGGTGGATGAGGTATGAGGTCAGCGCTGCGCATGCGCCGGTGAGTCTCGTGAAAACCAACGTTTGTTAACAGGAGCAAAGGAAGCAGTTTCCTTACTTTAGCAAAGGAAAATCAGTCTCCTCTTGGCTTATATCGAAATCCTCCAACATTCTTCTTTACAAATCCTCATTTTGTACTTCTAATAAGTGACCGTTGTTTTGTTTTGATCTCTCCCCTTCGCTTCCGCATTCGTCACTTCTGAGAGGCGCATGCGCAACACCGAACTCATACGTCATCCGCCCGGAGCTGCTTCCGTGTACAACTGCTGGCGCAAGCTACATTAAAGTGATTACTAAATTTTGAATATGGATATTTTTCTTACAAAAACGCATCGATTCGCTACATGGATGGGCATTTTATGGATGGGCGCTTTTTATTTCACTTCTTTTGGACTGAAGCACTGCAACACCCGCTGACTGCAATGATAGAGCTTGAAATAGCCAGGACCATTTTTTATATAACTCCGACTAAAAACCAACGTTTGTTTACAGGAGCAAAGGAAGCAAAGTTTCCTTACTTTAGCAAAGGAAAACCAGTCTCCTCTTGGCTTATATCGAAATCCTCCAACATTCTTCTTTACAAATCCTCATTTTGTACTTCTAATAAGTGACCGTTGTTTTGTTTTGATCTCTCCCCTGCGCTTCCGCATTCGTCACTTCTGAGAGGCGCATGTGCAACACCGAACTTATACGTCATCCGCCCGGATGCTTCCGTGTACAACTGCTGGCGCAAGCTACATTAAAGTGATTACTAAATTTTGAATATGGATATTTTTCTTACAAAAACGCATCGATTCGCTACATGGATGGGCATTTTATGGATGGGCGCTTTTTATTTCACTTCTTTTGGACTGAAGCACTGCAACACCCGCTGACTGCAATGATAGAGCTTGGAATAGCCAGGGCCATTTTTGATATAACACCGACTGGATTTGACTGATAGAAGAAAGTCATATACACCTAGGATGCCTCGGGGGTGAGTAAAACACAGCCTAATTTTCATTTTCGGGTGAACTAACCCTTTAATATAACTTCGATTGTATTCGTCTGAAAGAAGAAAGTCATACACACCTAGGATGGTATGAGAGTGAGAAAATCATGGGGTAATTTTCACTTTTGTGTGAACTATCCCTTGAACTAATTTAAGGGTTCCCACACATTTTGACCAATGAATTTCCATGATTTCCCCATGAGAATTTATTGATTTTTATTGATTTTATTTATTTAACAGGGACAGTGCTCATTAATCAACAGTAAAATACTGTAAATAAGCCAGAGTTAGCCCTAATGGCTAATTTTCATCTGTTGCCCCTTGCCAGATTTTAAAAAGGCAACCTAAAAATCTAAAATACAGTAAATTATCACACATAAACATACAATAACATTTACATTTAAACACTAAGGATAATAATGGCAGTATCATAAAAGGAAAAAAAAGATTTTGATTCATCTTTAGTGTATTGACTCATTAATCAACAGTAAAATACTGTAAATAAGCCAGAGTTAGCCCTAATGGCTAATTTTCATCTGTTGCCCCTTGCCAGATTTTAAAAAGGCAACCTAAAAAATCTAAAATACAGTAAATTATCACACATAAACATACAATAACATTTACAATTAAACACTAAGGATAATTATGGCAGTATCATAAAAGGAAAAAAAAGATTTTTATTCATCTTTAGTGTATTGATTTTTTTTTCAGGACTGGAAATCACAATTCCCTCATATTTCATGACTGTGGGAACTCAGTAATTTGAAAAGAATAAGGCAGAAAAATGGCTGCTTACCGGCCCCATTATTGTTGCCTGCCAGTGAAACACTGAAAAACATGATTCATTATATAAAATCAATGGGCAGTATTGAAGCAGAGCACAAACTGATCCAATGTATGCTGAGAATGGTAGTTAGTGTTGGATCACTACTAGAGTGAATACATGCGAATATCTATATATTTAAACAGTAATCCGACAAAAATATATCAATAGTAACTTTTTATAATTCACTCGTTCCTCATATACTCACAGTCCTCTCCGACTGGACCTGCTGAACACTGAGCTGGTGGATCTCTCTGTAGGTCTGTCAGTTCCTGAGGGAAACAAAATGGCCATGTCACGTCAACCAGCATTTTTGTGCAATAACCTTGATTATTTGATTATAAGTGTACTTCAGAGAAAATTGACAAAAGACAAGTAACACAAAGGATTCTTGGTCTGATCAAAATGTTATCAGCACCAGGATACTTAATTTGCTCAAAATGCTTTCTAAAAACAGAATTTGGCTCATGTTAGTGTAATGTAGTTGCCAACATGAACTCCTAATGCTTTGGCACTGAGGTTTGTTTCCATATTGAGATAGAGATCGTTTCAGGAGCACTGCCAGCACAACCAACGCTACAGCAGTCATCTCATAGTACCTCACAAACGGGTCTGAGAATGAAATATGGCTGTATAAACAAAGGGTGCGGCTGAAAATATCAGGGTGTACAGAAATATCAGTTGTGGAAAACAGGCTATTCGTATGTGCTTCTTTTACAAGATAATCACTTACATTTTTCAAAATGTGACAATGTATCTGCGTGAATCTCCAAATGAAATAAAAATATAAATGTATATTTCATAAAGACAAAAATAATGTGCTAATGATTTAAATCAGCAATTCAAGGTAGTACAACTAACATGATGTATTTTTTATGTTTTTGAAAGAAGTCTCAACGCTCACCAAGACTGCATTTATTGATAAAAAAAACCAGTATAAACTATATTTTTCCATATATTTTTATGTAATTTATTCCTGTTATGTCAAACCTGAATTTTCAGCTTTATTAGTCTTCAGTGTCATTTAATATTTTGGTGCAAGCTGTGTTACTTTTTGTTTTTACAGAATTTTTTTGATGAATAGAACGCTGAAAAGCATTTATTTAAATTTCAAATAATTATAAATGATTATAAAATTACAACTTTATTAAATGTCTTCATTGTCACTTTTGATCAATTTATTGCATCCTTGCCGAATGAATTGATGCACTGAAAAAAATTATTCATTTAAACAAGACTTACTGAACTCAAATTTTTGAACGGTAGATATACATTATATTTTAAACTGCATGAACTTATTTTCTGTTAATTTACGGGTAAAATTTGAGCTAAATATGTTCATGATATGTTTCATGAGATTCATCAATGTGTATTTTAATTAAAGGGTTAGTTCACCCAAAAATGAAAATTCTGTCATTAATTACTCACCCTCATGTCGTTCTAAACCTGTAAGACATTCGTTCATCTTCGGAACACAATTTAAGATATTTTTGATGAAATCTGAGGGCTCTCTGACCCTCCCATAGACAGCAAGGTAACTACCACGTTCAAAGTCCAGAAAAGTACCAAGATGATCGACAAAGTAGTCCGTGTGACGTCAGTGGTTCAACTGTAAAGTTACGAAGCTACGAGAATACTTTTTTGCGCAAAGAAAACAAAAATAACGACTTTATTCCACATTTTTGTCTCTACTGCATCACTTGTGGACGCGTGTTCACGACAGTACCGTGATGTGAGCGTTCGTCTCTACTGCGTCCAAAGTGATGCAGTAGAGACGAAAATGTAGAATAAAGTCGTTATTTTTGTGCACAAGACTGATCCTTATAAAACGAGCTCTGGCAGGAGCAGCACAACAACACACCACATACTGTGTTACATCTGTGCTGCTTTTAAAGGGGCGGAGCTTTTACAGTCTACTGTTGCTCTGTTGTTGACACTCTTTCTTGAGCCTTTGTTGATGTAACATGGCATTCGGCACAAGTTAAATGTCTATCTAACATTAGTCATGGGTCTAATAATAATAATAATAATTCATTACATTTATATAGCGCTTTTCTAGGCACTCAAAGCGCTTTACATTGTCAGGGGGTATCTCCTCATCCACCACCAGTGTGCAGCATCCACCTGGGTCCGATATTTTTTATGAACGGATCAACTTATGCATTATTTCACAGGACTTCACAGGCCTTAAAGGGATAGTTCACTCAGAAACGGAAATTCTGTTGTTTATTCACCTTCAAGTCATTACAATCCTGTACATTGTTATTTTGGCTTCAAAAGTCTGAATTTTTGAAGAGCTTTTTTCCATACAAGCACGATTTACAGCGGCCATGACTGTCAAGCTCCAAAATTTACAAATCACACCGTGAAGTAGGGCTGCACGATAAATCGAAATGGAATCGAGATCGCGATTCGACAGAAGCTGTGATTGTCATGCGTATATTTCAGTGAAGCACGGTTCTGTGATCAGCAGTAAATCTCCATCCGAAGGCCAGAGGGCGCTCTCGCGCTGAAACTCCAAATACGCTGGAGTCCAAATAAACAGAAGATTTATTTGACGCAAACAGCTGTCATTATCGCGAATGATTTCTTCGATTTCAGAACCGCGCAATAAAATCGTCTGCGATGTTTTTGCGTAACTTGTCAGTGAACTACGGCTCTGTGTAGTAAATGCTGCTCCATCTGAAAGCACGTGATGATGATTTCCTGCTGATTACAGAACCGGCTTTTTAACAAAATGCGCATGACAATCGCATTCGATTAATCACGCAGCCCTACCGTGAAGTATCCTAATACGGTAACCAGTTGCAATGTGATAAGATTCCAGGTTTAAGTACATTTATCTGTCCATCATGTCAGATATAGAAGAGCGTGTGGGCGGGGCTCTCCAAGTACATAATCAATTTATTAAAATTCAATGATTTTAACATTATTCAAAATACATACACATTGACTGATGCAAACCTTGTTATGAAATATACTTGTTTGCTCACAGATTGAACACTCGTTTCCTTCAAGTTTTTTTTCCCACGATCTGAGGTGAATTATCAGTTGTCGTGTTTATTATCGCAACTAAGTCACACACAAATTATACTCAAACTCAAAGGATTTTAATATTGTACAATACACTAGTACTTCAGATAATCTTTAATATAAGCTGTATATTCAGAGTCTGAAGTTATATGATAGCTTTTGTATTAGAAACAGACCCACATTTACGCCATTATTTCTTCAAATTAGTGTTTAAGATTGTCATTTTGCATTATTGACACACTATTTTCCTAATTAATGCTGCTCAGTTGCTTTGACACAATCTGTATTGTTAAAAGCGCTATATAAATAAAGGTGACTTGACTTCTGCTGAACACAAAATATGTTTCAAAGAATACGGGTAGCCAAAACGTTGATGCACTCCACAGACTTCCGTAGTATGAAAAAACCCACTATGGAAGTCAAGGGGGACCATCAAAGGTTCGAATACACGCAGTCTTCAAAATATACTCTTTTGTGTTCAGCAGAAGAAAGAAATTCATACAGGTTTGGAACAACTTGAGGATGAGTACATGATGACAAGTTTCATTTTGGATGCACTGTGCCTTTAAATTTTGGGCTGTTCCTTACACGAAGACTCTGAATATAGCACACAAGTCAATAGGGTGTTTTTGTTTTGTTTTGTTTTAATACTCCTTTTTGGAGCTGGTCATTAAAAATGTTGGAGATTCCAATTTCTCCTCATTTAGAAAAACAAAACATGAGGGTGAGTAAAGAAGGACAAAATTCGACTCGTTTATTATAAAACACTCAGACTATGGAATCGCTGAAAGAAATACACAGACTCCAAGTGATTTTTTTCTGTGTTTAAAGTCGCTGGTTATGCGGACAGTGTGGCGAATCTGTTAAAAATACCCTCTGCTGTCCTAGTGCCCTATTTGCCCAGCCATATATGGACACACTGACATTAGGGTTCAGCATTTGGCAACTCGCAAGCAGTTGTCGCCCATCACGCATGCGCACCAGCGGCGCTTCGCTCATTCATGATGCCCGACGACAGAAAAGATACATTTTAACAATGTTTCCAGCGCCAGCACACTTACATGTTACACATCTGTCACAACAGCACCCGTAAACCCCCAAACCATGCGTTATTACGCGCGCAGATCCTTACGCTGCAACATCGCATAACGAGAATAGCTGTTGTCGATCACATATTGCGCAGAACAAACACTCAAGCTTAGGCGTCTCTAAGTGACGGTGGCTGTTTATAACAGCATGTGTGTGAATCTGTAGAGATCAGAAAGACACCGTGCGTCTGTCGACTGCATGCATCCACCATTGGCCGTGCGTCTTTGTCTTGACCAGATGGGGACCACATGAGAAAAGTGCGCCTGCTTCACATCACAACAGCATTAGAAGAAGATGAGCAGGACACTGTGTGGATCGCATAACCTCACAGCCTCTGTCAATGCACACAGACTCACCTTCTGGATTCTTTTCAACGCCATTTGCTCGCTGTGTTACAGCACTGTTTGATCTAGTTCAGAGACTGCTGGCCTGCACAGTTTGGAGGAGGACGCTGCAGATGTTTCTCCTCAGTGTCACACGTTACGTTTGTAATACCACCAAAGCACAGATTTGGACATTCACGCCGCTGTTTGAACGGCAGTCGCCGATTTGAGAAATTCTTACCCCCTCTAACCTCACTGACAGCTTTTTAGTGCTGTGCTAGACAGCAGGACGGTAATCTCGCGATACGACGCAAAGGATTTTAGATAATATCGCGATACTAGAGCGTGCGAGGTGATGCTGGGAAATGTAGTTCTGTGAGTGTTGCGCTCGTAATTTGCATAAAGGGTAAGTTAGTTGTAATAATCGAAGATGAAAATTAATTGACTTAATTTAAATTAATATGATTTTTTTTAAGTATATTTTTTGATCTGTTCTTTGTTGTTAGGTTAATTTTATATATCAGACTAATTCAAAACCTAATTTTGCTTATTTTCAAACAGCCTTTAAAGTTTAGAATCTATAAAGTAAAAAAAATAAAAAATCAAAAAAGCCCCATGAACAGTCCCTGTTAAATGAATTTAACATATGTCTGTGAAAGAAAGAAAGAAAGAAAGAAAGAAAGAAAGAAAGGCAAATAAGTGGAGTAAACTGTAAAACTGTTTGCGCTATGACAGCGAGTCTATGATTATGATAATGATTTAGTTTAGCTTTTAAGTTCTGGCGCTTTTATTTAGACTTCTAAATTCATAAAAGTTATATTATTTTGTCAAGATTATCTTGATGGACAAACCGTGTAAGTTTCATGAACTATGATTGAACACAGAGCTTATTTTTGCGATAATCCAAAAGCCTATGGAAAAATCCTACTGGCTTTCTGTCCAGGGAACCAGTGTGATGCTAACAGCCGAACAGCCTACAAAGGGACATCATAGTTTCCCCACTCAACCTTACTGTTATTAAGTGCAAAAAACTTATTTTTCTAATTGAATGTATTGTTACAATTAAAAAATGAAAACACACACAGTCAATGCCCACCCCAGTGCTGGCTTTCATTATGGCCTTCAGGTTCTGGCCCTCAGATTATCCTCTGTCTCTGTTTGCTTTACTCTCTGGTCTGACCCTCGGCTGGAATCTGGTGGCACTGGTGGCACATTTCTGGATGGGCTCGCCGAGGACCTTAAAGGTGAGATTTCGTGGCAGTTCTGTGTCTCAAATAATGCGCCCCCTCCTGATGCCATCTTGTCCTCAGGCCATGTGGTGGGGGCTGTAACCTGGGACATTGAGGGTCATGTCAAGTGAGATCTGGCTGGAGTTGAAGTGCCTGTGGGGAACCTGGTGGGCTTGCTTTATTTCCATGGCCAGTTCACCTTGCCATCTTGCAGTGGTGTCACACTTATTTAAAATGTTGCCCCACCCAGGTGTGCGCGGTCCGTTTTTGGTGTCTGGCTATGGCAGATGATGATTATCTGTTTATGGCTGTTGGCTTAATATCCGTTGGTAAGGTGGTCAGTTTAAATTTCAAAGTTGTCTCTATAATTTCTGTCTGCTTCACCCTATCCCCTTCCCCTCCCACCCCTGGGCGTATGTTGCCATGGATTTTCTGCAATACTCTTGATTTTTGTGCTATATTGGGTGAAGCAGTCATAGCTGTGTTTTATCGTGAATAAAACACAGCTGATGACCAATCAGAAGCGAGAACTGGAACTAACCATTTTATAATAAGAGATTTGAACATGTCATTCTAAACCCATAAAACCCCCGTTCATCTTCAGAACACAAATTAAGATATTTTTGATGAATTCTGAGGGCTCGCTGACCCTCTCTGACCCTCCCATAGACAACAAGGATCAGGAGGGTCAGAGAGCTCTCAGAATTCATCAAAAATATCTTAATTTGTGTTCTGAAGATGAATGAAGGTCTTACGGGTTTAGAATGACATGAGGGTGAGTAATTAATGACAGAATTGTCATTTTTGGGTGAACTATCCCTTTAAATCAGGGGTGCCCAAACTCGGTCCTGGAGGGCTGGTGTCCTGCAGAGTTTAGCTCCAACTTGCCTCAACACACCTGCCTTTAAGTTTCTAGTATGCCTATAAGAGCTTGATTAGCTGGTTCAGGTGTGTTTAATTGGGGTTGGAGCTAAACTCTTCAGGTCACTGGCCCTCCAGGACCGAGTTTGCCACCCCTGCTTTAAATCATGCATGCATATTGATTGTCCTGTGTCTATATTATTGAAGCAGTGGGTATTTTAACAATAATGGATTGGCCATTCACTTCCATTGTAAGTGTCACGAATCCGGTCCATGAACTTCCGTCTGCTTGCCACCAGAGGTCACCCTTCCACTACTATGGACTCTTGCACCGCACCACTGTTGCACTTCACCCGGACTGCAGTTCCCATCATCCATTGCACTGATTACACACACACAGTTGATTGCACACAGCACTGATTGCACACAGCTGTCATCAATCACACCTTCCCTATATAACACTCACTCTGATCCCCGTCAAGCTGCCGAGTATTGTATAGCGTATATCACTCACCTAGCGATAGCAACTCTACAGAGCCCGTTAGTTTTCATAGACTTACCTTAGTCTTGCCTTGTCTGTCTTCTCATATCCTGATCTTTGCCTGTGCACCTCGTATTCCCCCTCTCGTCTTGCTCTATTCAGATACTGTTTGCCCCTGCCTGGACCTTTGCTTTATACTTGGAGTTACCCCTCTAGTCTCGCCCTGTTAATTCTGTTCACCGTTCGTAGATCCACGCTAGCCCTAGGAATATTGTTATGTCTTGCCCTCTATAAACCTGTTGCCACTATCTGACCCCTGCCTGTCTCTAACCATGTCTGATAATAAAGCTTTGCACTTGGATCCTCATGTCTCACGTCTCGTCAGCCCCGTAACAGAATACTCGGCCACACAAGGATCCAGTGGCTTCTCGGATGACATTGGACGGGTATGGATACAGCAAGAATATTGTTAGCCCTTAGACAGGGCACACGATCGCTGGAGGGCTATATTCAAGAATATTTAGCCATCGTTCATTATTCAGATCTGCCGGACTGTGTTTTGATATACTTTTCTGCCGCTAAAGTCCAAACTCATTCACGAGGGTCCGCGTTCATCTTTCAGTCAGTGTATGGATTATGCTTTGTTGATGGTTGGTTCGGCGTTCACTGTGGGTATCGCGGAGGAACGCGACCCCGCACTCACTCGTGTAATGGCGGCCGCACTAGAGCACGCTCACAAAATGGTGGCGACAGCGGGGCCTGATCGCAAAATGGCGGACACAACAGCGCCCTGTTATGTCACCGCTGTCAATCCTGAGTCAAGTCAAGTCAGAGTTGATCGTCATGAGGCAAAGTCAAGTCACAGCTTATCTTCATGAACCAAGTCAAGTCACAGTTTATTGTCATAAGCCAAGTCGAGTCACAGCTGATCTTCCTGAGTCAAGTCACAGTTGATCTTCCTGAGTCAAGTCACAGTTGATCTTCCTGAGTCAAGTCACAGTTGATCTTCCTGAGTCAAGTCACAGTTGATCTTCCTGAGTCAAGTCACAGTTGATCTTCCTGAGTCAAGTCACAGTTGATCTTCCTGAGTCAAGTCACAGTTGATCTTCCTGAGTCAAGTCACAGTTGATCTTCCTGAGTCAAGTCACAGTTGATCTTCCTGAGTCAAGTCACAGTTGATCTTCCTGAGGCAAGTCTA